AGGCGGATCGCGTGTCCTGTGCACGGCGACAGAGACGGTGGCCGGCGGCCGGCCGGCTTTGGCGCGACGCGCGCCAAAGACAGTTAGCGATAACAAGCGCTTTGAAATTCCAAGTTGGACGAAGGAGACCTCAAGAGTCGTCGAACGTCTGGAGTGTCGTCTGTTTGACTCGTTGGCACCGCACTGGATCTCTGGCCGTGACACGACGGCGACCGGTTGATGGCCGTGAGCCCGTGACACGTGAGGTCGACCATGCTGTCATCTCAGTTGGAGTGGTAGCTGTCTTTGGCACCGCACTGGATTTCTCCCGTGACAAGACGTCGACCGGTTGATGGCCGTCAAACGTGACATCGATCCTTATGACCTTATCCCTCGAGGAGAGGATTTGCCGGCCTGGGAGTGGCCCAGTGGGCGAGATGTGACGTGATCTGCGTCTCCGTCTGGTTCACGGCCCACACGTGCGTGATCTCCTCCCAAGGCCCAGACCAAAATTGCTTCTGGCGCTCCTGGGCTCCGTGTCGACATGACACAACCTTATGTCTTCTTTTAACATTTTTTTTATGGGTAATAATGCTCGCAAGCAGACGTCCGTCCACGACACATGCCCATGTTGGTGGACCCCGAAGTCTATTGTATCCCTTTCTATCCACTCCCCTCCGGTCACCGTAGTTTATTAAAAAAATCATGCATCACCACGACTACGCTCTGCCATGCCACCATCTTGCAAGCGTCGACCGCCATGTGTGGCCAGGCAGCCAGGGGAGGCAACCGTCGTTGGCCGAGCCCAGGCCAGGCGCAGGCGTAACTAGCCACTACCAAGCCGTGCCACCATCTTCGGCCGTCGGCTAGCCGGAACTGGCCATTCCCGGCTCTACTCTACGTCATCCGAAAGAACGGGTGAAAAGCAGATGTGTGCAGGCGTATATTTCAAGTGTTTCAGATATTTTATAGGTATGTTGCAAGTGTTTTATATGAATGTTGCAAAAGTAAATCGGAATGTTGCATATGTTGCAACGATTGTACACAGATGTTGCAAGCTTTTGTTCCCAATGTTTCATCTGTTTTTTAAAAGCATGCTGTAAATGTGTTTATTTGGATATTGCATTTATTTCACACATATGTTGCAAGTGTTTTATGAAGATGTTCTTTGCAATGGTTTCAAGTATTTTTGTAAGTGTTTTAGATGCATATTTCAAGTGTTTCATCTGTCTTCAAATGTATGTTGCAAGAGTTGCATCTGAATGTTTCAAAACTAGATATGGTGTTGCACATGTTGCAATGCGCGTGAGAAGTACATGCTAGTGTGGCCTGTGTGGGCATGCGAAACGCAGGCATGGGCAGGGGCATGCTGGGACGAGCACAGGCCAGGAGTACAAGCGCGCGGGAAACAGAGTGCAGCATGGGCGTTAGGACGCGGGCGTCCGTCCAAGCGCTAGCATTTCTGTTTTTTATCACCACAAAATGTTCTATAAGGTTATCTTACCTGTGGAATCGTAAAAACCTTCATAAAAATTTTTAGAAATCATAACAGAATAAAAATCAGAATGTAGAGGCGATGATGATATGTACAAGCTTACAAAATAACAGGGCCAAAGTTAACTTCATTATTATCAGAATAAAAATTGAGAAAGAGCAAAAAAGAGAGGGGGGAATTAGCTAAATAGTGTTTGTGAACAGCTGAGCCCAAGGAAGGGGGGCGCTAGTAGGAGCCACCCCACCGTGCTGAAACTTTTAAAACTACCTTGATGTAGCTTCTAAGCTACATTGACAAGGGAACCGCAATTGTTTTCAAAACAGATACAGTTATTGATAGTTTCTATGATATGAATACACACAAACTAAGACTAAATGAAAAGGGTTAGTTCCTATGAATACTTTGTTTCTATTGCAACTTTTGTATAATTTGACCAATGTCAGCAGGGGAACCCAACCTAATTTGTTATATTTTTTATTCCAAACCTCTTCAATTCGCTCCCACAGGGAGTCGAACCCAGGCCTGCTACATGCTACTCAGGTGCTCTAACCACTAGGTTAGAGGCCATTTAAAATATGAAATCATGATTTTGTGTGTTACATTTGGTAAAGTATATAGTCAGGCTGGGCAACCGGTTTTAACCGACTGTTCGGTTCGGTTTCTACAAACTTCGGTTCCCAGGATCTAGCACCCGATCGGTTTGTCACATAAGAAGGAACCGACGAGTTCGGTGTCCGGTTTCTCGGTTCGGTTTTTGGTTTAAACCGAGCAAACCGATCGACACAGAGAAGAGAAAGAGGGAGAGTGCACCGAGGCCTGAGGAGCCACGCTGCACCGCCACCACCGCGCGGGCGCCGCTCTCGCCAACCACAGTGTAGCAGCCCCGACCCTGTCCCTGCGTGCAAGGGGATGCTCCCACCGGCCACCGCCGAAGAGCCACGTTGGGGCTGCCTTGTAGTTGTCGTGGCCGCCGCCTGCTCGCGCTACCTGCTCACGGTCACGGCCGTGCCTCCTCCTTGCAATGCCACGCGTGCTCTGCTGCTTGTGCCGTCGAACTACCCACGGTCGCTCCCTACTCGCGCCATCGCTCTCTGAGGCTAGATTAGATTGGGTTTCGGGGTGTGTTGGGCTGACCAGTTGAGGAAGTGGGGGTATGTGTTTGTGTTGGTCTTGGGCCATATTAGGCCATTGGGCTGCCGGTATCTAGACAACAGGGATACGTTGTGCTCTGCTCTTTGTTTCTAATGAGGATCGGTTCCTTCGGGTGTTCGGTTCTTAGGACCCAGGAACCGAAGCCGAACATTCTAGGTATAAAAAACAAAACTAAACCGAAGAACCAAAAAATCGACACTTCGGTTCAGTTTCGGTTCGGTTCTTTCAGTTTTCGGGTTAAATGTGCCAAGGCTGAGTATATGGTCATCTTCATTTTCATTGATAGTTCAAATATAACGATCCATTAATCTTGTGTGAATTTCTGTATAATTTTTGTAAACTTCTAAACATGTTTTAGAGGCAATTTTTTATTCCACTACAAGTGGTCAAAATCCAATCTTATATTGAAGAGTGAATTGATTAGCATCCCTTGGGTAACATACTATGTTGATTACCCATCACATGTCTCCCCGTCTAAATTGACTTGGACTTCTATTTCAACCATGAACATCCAAAACCCAAATTCATACTTGCAATAGTAAAACCGATCCTTTTAACATGAACTTTCCACACATTTGAAAACCGAAATCATACTTCCAATATTAAAATCGACCCTTTTAACAAGAGATTTCCACACACACAAAAAGTCCTAAGGATCAACTCCAATTTCACAATTTCATAGTGAAATCTTCAAAACCATTCACTTTTGGGAACACAAGCTATATGCAGGGGCGAAGCCAGCTCAAAACTAACCCTGGTGCACTCTCTATCAAATATCAAAGAATATACACAATTATAAAGGAAATACATAGAAAAATTGAGGTAGATATTAGTAATTTTTTGTTTTTACCATGGTGCACGTGCACCAGGGAAAGGCAACGTGGCTTCACCCCTGGCTATGTGAGGGCTCTTAGCCTTCTTATCCACCAAACTTAAGTTTGAAAGAAGTCATGGCGATGGTGACAAGGAGACCATGGAAAACCACACCTCAGGATAGCCAAAGATGAACTTGTAGCAGTTCATAGATTGATACATATAGGGCAACCATTTGTCCCCACCCTTACACAACCACACATGGGCAACAAATACACTATTTTTCTCTTCTTCCTTCATTTGTGCCCCTTCGTTATAGTTCCTCCATGTTGTGGCATCACTGCTCCATGCCTCTCCTAGATGTTAGGGTCGAGGAAGTTTGAGGATGGGTTGGGATAGTCCTCTGGTGCAGAGGGAGGTAGGTCACTGGCCCATCGATAGCACTAGTGATGATGGTGAGGTGCGAGCGGTGGAACAAGCCATGGTCGTGGGCACGAGGCTAATAGTGGGCAATAGAGGAGGCAAGTTGTCTCATGGCTATGTTTTTGACAAAAATAGACCGTATCGTATATTAGGGCTATAGTTGGGTGGCAGCAGCAGGGAACCTCTAGGGAGGGAGAAGGGTGGCGCGACGCACAAGCATGGTGCAATGACCGGCGGCATGGATGAAAGGCAGCCAAAAATCCCTCTCTTGCCGAATCCCCTCCATGTCCTTGTCCTCCTCAAGTAACCCACGGCCACCATAGGCCAAAAATATCATTCCCTATAAGATTTTTTTCTCTCTACTTTGGAACCAGATTAGAATATATATATATATATATATATATATATATATATATATATATATATATATATCTCTACATTACAGAAGAAAAGGCAAATATTTAGGATCGAATGACAATTGGACCTGAACAAAGCTATTATTTTATATCTATATCTTTATTACCTAATATTGAAAAGCCAAAGGATTCTTTCATCCATCTTTTTTTACTTCCCACAATACCCCTGCGTCTCTCCTTGTCTACTCAGGGTCTCTCCTTGTCATCTAGGACTCGAACTCATGATCCATGCTCATGCGAAATCAGAACCGCATGTGTTTGTGCATCCATGAATGATATGGATTTTGATTTTAATACATAGTGGAACAGATGACGCGAGTCATTTACATGAATCTCCGAGCTATAAGTAATTTAGGTGACCGTGCAACAAGGTGTGCGTTCTAAACGTAATTAAGGCACATTTGCTAGTAACTTATAAAGTTGGACGAGTTGATAGTACAAGCATTCAGCTACGGATACACACGAGCCTGACTAGGGAGCCACACATCATAGCACTAACTTATTCAACACAATTATACACGCAGAGAAAATGAAGCAACTGCAGGAACACCTCGACGCACAGCCGGCCCCACCCCACCTCTTCTTCTCAGTCTCACTCACACAAGCAACAGCTTATTAGCAAGGTCCGGAAAGGGACCTATTATTGTGAACCGTCAAATTAACACGCACAGAATTAAACAGGTGGTGGTGCGCCGGAGCTCTATCATCGCCGGCCGGTATGGTCAGCCGAAGAGGTGGTGGTGCTTCTTCTCGCTGCTGGCCTCCTCAGCGTCCTTGTGGTCCTTCTTCTTCTCGTGGTGCTCGTGGAAGGCGTAGCCGCCGGCGCCTACAGCCCCTGCCGCCGCGACCTCCTCCGTGATCTTGTGCCTGTGGGCGTGCTCGGGGTCCTTCTTCACCTCGTGCTTCTCGTACTACATATACGGAAGGAAAGAAGAATTCATGGAACAGCACGAAGAACAAATACTAGAAGCATCGAAGCGTGGACTACGACGAGCGAGATATATATAAATACGTACAAGTGCGAAGACGCCGGCGCCGGTAGCGCCGGCCTCGCCGAGGTGCTGCTTGTGCTTGTGCTCCTTCTCCTCCTTCTTGTACTCGTCCTCACCGGTGGTCACCACCTCGGCAGTCGCGGTTTCGGAGTACCCGTACTCCCCGGTGGGCTGCTCCTCGTCCTTCTTGTGGTGGTTGAAGAAGTGGTGGTGCTTCTCCTCCGACATGGCTGCCGCCCGAGCTAGCTACCTGGTCAGCTGCAGGTTGCTATACTAGCTAGCTAGTGTGGCTTAACCGGGGGAGGGAGTAGTACTACACAAACACTTGGCTACCAATTGGCTGTGTGTGAGGATAGGATCGTTGGCTTGGGGGCGTTTTATAGGCGATTCAACAAGCCATTACACAGTGGCGGTGGGATTAGCATGACTAAACATGCATGTGAATAGGATAACGATATTATTACTGGAGTCACGGAAGCAGATGGGACATATTATGGCATGCATGTATATACCTACCTCACATATTCCTTCTAGCTGCAAAAGTTTGTTCCTCTCTAAGTGTAATTTATTTAGTACCTATAGGACAAAAAAAAGGGAAAACGGTGTTTTTGCCCCTCTCCAGAAGTTCAATTGTGATTTTACTTATATTTTTTCAACTTTATGATTTTACCCCTGTTATTTTGAAACGAAGGAGCAGTTTGCCCCTGGTTTGGATGTCTGTTATTTAGAGGCTAATTAAACGATTTAAAAAAAAAATAAAACACATAAAATCAGATGCGAAATGACTGAAATGCCCTTATCACAGTTATCCCATCCGTACCGTGTCCACCGGTGCCTATTGGGTAGGGCGCGCGACATCGACGAGGGAGGCACGGCCGGCGATCTCAGCGGCCGCAGCAGGCGCGCGCTGGCGGTGCTGTGGTGATGCGCATGCGACGGGGATCGGCTGGGCGGGCGTTATGCATGGCCCGACGATGGCGCGCGTCATTGCGGTGCGCAGCGAAGCAGCTGGTGGGCGCGCAAGGCAAAAGCGCCTTCTGATGCGTCGGCGGCGCGTCGGGAAACGGCTAAGCGGGCGCTGCGACGTGCGCGAAGCTCATGGCGCGGCGAGTGCCGCTGGTGGGCGTCCGCGGCATGGCCAATGGGGCGGGCGGCTGCGCTGGGTCTGCGGGCGCTAAGTAGCGAAGTCTTCTGCGGCCGTGAGCTTCATGGCGCCTTGGGCGGTGCCAGCCGCTGGACGGCGTCGTCGCATAGGGCATGGCCGCGGCGCTGTAAGGCAAAGCGCCATTTGTAGGCGTCTGGCGGCGGCGCGCGTCGGGCGCGGGCAAGGTGCGCGAGCGGCCGATGGTCGAAGCTCAAGGGCGCAGCAGTGCCAGCGTGGCGGGCGTCAGCGGCATGGCCATGGCGGCGCGCCTTCTTTCTATGGTGTCTGGTAGCCTTGCCAGCTGGGCGGACGTCGCCGGCATCGGCAATGCGCGCTTGAAGGGCGTGGCGGGCGGGCGGTCGAGCGGCCGCGTGCAAGGAGGGCGCCGCGGTCTCATGCGGGGTTGGAACAGCCAGCAGGAGCGTCCCATCTTCGGCAAGAGGAGGCGGCGGAGGGATCCGATCAAGCAGCAAGAGGAGGAGGCAAGGCAACACAGGCGGACTCTGTGTAGCGGTGATTTATGGGGTGTTTGGATCTGGTGACTGTAATTTAGGAGGTGTGTCCGGAGGGTGTTGCATGGGGTGTTCGGATACTAATAAAAAAATAAATTATATAATCCGACAGTACTTAACGAGGCGAATTTATTAAGCCTAATTAATCCATCATTAACACATATTTACTGTAGCACCACATTATCAAATCATAGACTAATTAGACTTAAAAGATTCGTCTCGTAAATTAGTCGCAAACTATATAATTAATTTCGTAATTAGTCTATATTTAATACTCCGTGTCTAAACATCGGTGACTAAAATTTAGAAGGGCAAACACGTTAGATTGGTTGCGTCGGGCACAGGCGCACGCACACAGCTGCCGAGCTTTTGTCCCGGTGGCCGAAGCCCGAAGCTACCAGAAGAGGGCGAGGTGGCGCTTGGTTGCCGGACAAGTGCCGGCCACGGAAAAGACCACGCCGCGCAGGGCCCTACTGCCAAACACCTGTCCACTCCAACTCCAGTGTTTAAGCCATATTTTATCTTCCACCGGCGGCTACGTGGCACTTTTTTTATATAGGGAAAAGATCTAAATTAAAAGTCCAATTACATCTCTATTTTATCTTTGAGTAAAATACATCCTAGATCTTAAAGTTTTACTATAAACACCCAACATGTGATTTGTGAATAATTTTTCCAATATTAAATCTGAATTGACCAAATATAATAACTATTTTTTTTCAAAATATAGTATATGTGTCTTATTCCAAGTTAGGGATAAAATCACAAATAACCCTAAAAATCAGGGGCAAAATTAGAAGGGCATATTTGTCCTTTGATACAAAAGTTAACACCGTTAGGGGAGGATAACGGAATAGGGGCAAAGTGGTGTTTCGTTTGGAATAAGCAAGGGCAAATTCATAAAGTTAAAAAAAACAGGAGTAAAATCACAATATCGATATAAAATAGGGGTATGGATGTAAAAGCAAAAAAAAAAAAAGATAAATATTAGGCATCGTTTGGATCCACCCAACTAAAGTTTAGTTATCTAAAATTTCAAAAGCTAAACTTTAGCCGGCTAAAAGTACTCCAAGCTAAACTTTAGCTAGGGTGTTTTGATCCTCCAGCTCTTTTAGCTGGACCGTTTTGTAGCCTAGCAGCTAAATTAAGCCGGCTAAAGTTTAGTTAGTGGATCCAGAAACATCCTTATTAGGTTTTATTGCAACATTTACAATGTTCTGATTCTGTGAAATGACATACAGATCCCGCGTGATGTCCCTAAATTTCACCAATGCAAATAAACCAATTGGAAGCCTCTTAAATTCTTATCCACACCACTGGAGCCCATTAACGGGGCGCCACGTTGATTTTGGATGGTGCGTCCCAACGACCTTGTTGCTGGATCGATGGAGTAGCATTCTGTCATTGACATATAGCGCCTACCCCATTTGAGACGACACTAGCTAGAAGTACTGATCTTGTCGGCAGAAACTTAAAGTTGCGTGTATACTATATGGCGCTGGTATATGTTGTAGATCTACAGGTATATACGGCGTATATACCTTGGTGTCTGGTGATTCCAGCAGCAGAAGTTTATAACTCGCCTGATTCGAGCCTACTAGGTAAGAAGTCGGGGTGCATCCATGTGGTATGCCAGGAGAGCCACGGCATAACCAGTTGGTCGGCTAACATTCATTTGATACTTTGAAATCGCTTATTAATTTTGCTATTATAGATAAATAAAACGATAACGATACGAACACTACAGGAAACTCGAATACTTTTGTAGGTGATGAATTTTTCTGTGCGTTTTTCTCTATACACACAGAAAAATTGGTAATTAAGGTGTGGGTTTCAAAAATCCCGACAGAAATATTCGAAAACCCACAGAAAAATCACGTGATTACGTGATTTTTCTGTGCGTGTAAATACACACAGAAAAATTGCCATTATTCTGTCGGTCTTTTCAAAACTCACAGAAAAACTATATACACGCATGTAAAAAACTATATACACGTAAAAAACACAAAACCCTAAACCTATCTCCAGACGCGCGCCGCCCATCCCTATCCCAAACGCTACCACTTTTTTTGCCGAGACCACGCCCGCACTCCCCGTCGCTCCTAGCTCAGAGCTCCAGCCTGCCGCCCCATCTCCATATCCGGCGCCCAGCAGCCGCCACCAGCCACCCCAGCTCCATGGCCACCGCCCGCCGCCCTAGGTCCGTCACCGCCCGCCGCCCCCAGATCTGCCTCCTGCCGTGCAAGTCTTGCCTCAAACCCGACCATCTCCCATCGCCTCCCCCTCCTTTCTTCCACCGTCGCGGCGGCCACCCCCTCCTCCACCGGCGAGGCCACCACCCCCTCCTCCACTACAACTCCTCCCCTCCCTTCCCTCGGAAGATGGCGGTGGCTGCCCATGCAAGACCGGATGGCGGCGCCTCCCTCCTCCAGACCGGCCGGCGGTGCCTCCCTCTCCTACCAGATCCAACCAGTGCCCCTCCCTCCACCCACATCCGGCTGGCGCTGCCTCCCTCCTCCAGCCGACGTCGACTCCCTCCTCCAGATCTGCGCTCACCCTGGTCTTCATCGGGCCTTCGACATTCGCCAGCGACGAGCATCCACCAGGTATGCGCCCACCCCTTTGCTCTCCCTTGAAACCGAGCACCCAAACCCTAGCTAATGTAATCTATTTGGGTTTTTGTGCTCGGTTTAGGATTCGATTTGGGGGTGGATCGATAGATCAATGTGTGTGAGCTGCGGTTGATCAAACCTGGTTCATGTTTAATTAACCTGTCACATGTGTGCTATTTTTAGAATTAAAAGCACGCTCCTGTTTTTAGCATTGTTTGATGGGTGAGGACACGTTATATCGTCTCCAAATACTAAAATGCTAAGAATATGCTTGAGAAGCATGCAAGTAAGTTTCATTGCAGTAGAATATTCCTGTGCTGTTCACAAAGAAGAAATTTGCATCACTGATTTTAGTTTCTAGACAGGTAGTGTTTCAGCTTTAGAAACCCAAATTAATTGAGGTGGAAATGGATGTGCAAGAGGATTTGTCCTATGTGCTGAGCTTAGCTCTCATCACCCAAATTAATTAGGTAGAGAACAGTTTCACAACCTATAATTTTTAGCCAAAACTGGAGAACATTAGAACAATGAATTTGGATCTTTGTTTTCTCAAACAAAGCTTTACTTGTTGCTGGTTTGAGTGATTTGATTGGTCAGTGCCTCCGAGTTAAGGTCTGATATTCAAATGTGCAATTTTGCGTGCTAATCTACGCTGACTGTTTAAGACTGAGACTTTGAGTACTATAAGTGGGCCCTAACTCTAGTAGAACTGTTAATACCTACGACTTGTCATCATGTTTTGTTCAGCGCTCGTGACCTATTTTTTTTCTTCTTCTTATTATTTTGAGATATCATCACTACTTTGTGCTAGTATATAACTGATCTGTTCCTTTGCACTGCCTTACTTTCTTGAGCCTCCTCGTGCTGATTATTTGTTGAAGGCAATGTTTAATTCAATATATTTGTAAAAGATGGGTCCTTTAGATGGTGCTTTTGTTGTAACATAGGAGTAATTGTTGT